CCCAGTAGGCTTTTTAATATTTCTTTTCATATTCTCAAGCTACAGGATATTTTCTTATCATAAAAGCAATATCGTGCTGGATTACGCTTCTTCATATTGAATTTTTCCTTCCCTTACAAAGAGTTTTGAGGTTCCTATTTTGGCGCGGAATTCCCAAATGAGAAGAGGAAATTTGATGATTTAGTTCAGATGGATATTAGTTACTCTGCAAAGGAAAGTGTTAATGTTGGTACGTGTGTATGTTGCTTCTGCTCTTAGTTGTTTGTATGTGTACAGTTCACCTTCACGTTCCCGGGATTGTAAGTAGTATTAGTATATTGTGTATATGATTATAACCGAGTCTGTGTCATTATCAGCACCAATACGGATGGTCTCTCCTGGGAAGATATTTTGGTCCCGTATTTAAAATGAAAATAACGGGATCACTCTTGTTGGTCCAATGTAATCACAGGTTTTTAGATTATGACAATGATTTTGTGTAGGTAAGCTTAGGTAGAAGCGAGTTTCTATTTCGGTACGGAATTGTGAAGATATAACGCAAAATAGTACATTTGTTTGGGTGAAAATCAAAATCTTTTACCCCAAAGATTATACATGTTAAATGTTTGTGTTTGTTGTTTATCTAATTGCATGCTCATACGTGTATATATAACCCACTGTCCATGAGTTTGCATTTCTAACCTGCAGGCGCTGTATGTTGGCTTACACTGGCGTGGTTAAATGTTATACACATGCCAGTATGCGAGCAAACCTCGTAATAACGTAGTCGATACAAACCGGATGACATCGCTCGGTGGGCCTCTTTAATCCCTCGTTTCCGTCAAAATAATATCACGCTTGTTATCTGCTGCTTTTGGCCACTCTTGTTTTGGTCTTAGTGAGAGTGTTGTGTTATTTATGCAAGAGAAGCAAACCACTTATTGAATGGCTCCCTGGTAAAGATCCCGCAGGTTGAAAAATGAGGGGGGTTGTGACTGTTGGAAATCATTCTAAACATGAAAAGTAAAACGAAATGGGAGTGATAATAAAGTGGTGAGCTCCATTGTTTTTGCAACACATATTTGTATGTAAGTACATATATAAACTATATGTATATATAAA